CATTAATGTCTAAGTGCAAGAGAAAATGGATCCCAGACTCAAGCAGGGCACCCTGGTTACTTTACTCCTCCATTTTGTTCTAGATATACACGAGTTATGGACTGAATGATGTCTACTGAAAAGGGGCAGAAGACCTTTACTCGGTTTATCCATTCAAATGCTAATCTCTTATGGAAATACCCTCATAGACACAATTGGAAATTATTTTTTACCAGCTATCGTGTATGCCTTAGCTTAGTCACATACTCAGCTAATAATGAAAACAAGTCTCAAACACTTATTATTTTTATTTATTTATTTTTTTAAAGATTTATTTATTTGTACATACAGAACTGGGGTACAGGCCAGAGGCTCAGGGGCAGTGAGAGGCTTCACCAGAGACAGAGTGGGGAGCAGAACAGGCAGATCTATGAAGTACACTGCTGAGGGGAGCAGCGGGCGGGTCAGGAGAGGTCTGCCACGCCATGTGGTCACCTCCGGGGCAGGCGGGAATCGAACTCATGTGGAAGTGGCTTTAGCTTCTCAATGCAGTGCTTTAACCCGCTGCGCCACTAGGGAGGGCCCAACAAACACTTATTTTTTTAAGAAAAGTTCATAAAAGCCGATTTCAGGCAGTGTTTGCAAACTGTTTTGTGAGATCCTCAAAGTTTACCTTTCTATCTTTTTAGGTATTCTGGCTGTCACCAGGCATGCATGTTGCCTTTTAGCAAGGTGGGATAATACTCCAGAGCAAAGATCCTAGGTTCTTTGAGTGGATGTCAAGCTATTCTAAAGTCAAGTCTGGACAGAGAATTATGAGGGGATAAAACTTCAAACCTATTCCGAATGGTTTAGATTCTCCTTGAATTCCAACATTCGGTGGCTCTCTGCTTACATTCTTGCCTACTGTTCCAGGAAAGGTGAGCAGATTTTTAAACTACTTTAAATAACCTCCACATACATTGCACATCTTTAAATTCACCAATTTGAGCCCACTTCTAACACCTGCTGTGCCACAACATTCACCGATTTAGAGAAACATGTTGATAACATTCAGTCTATTAACTAGCACGTGTGGTTTATTGCTCTCCAACCATTAGTAATCCTTTAGTATCCCTTCTGTAGTGTGGTTTTTTTTTTTTTAATGCATATAAGAACTGGGGTCTGGGCCAGAAGTGTGAGGAAGGTGAGAGGATTCACCAGAGATAGAGTGGGGAGCAGAAGAGGCAAATCTACTGATATACACTGCTGAGGGGAGTAGGGGGTCTGAGAGGAGAGGTCTGCTGTACCGTGTGAGTTACATACCTGGCCTGGGATTGAAACTCAGGCCACAGTGGCTGCAGACACTTCATATTGCTGAGGCTTTAACCTCTGCACCACTAGGGAGGTCTGGGTTTTCTGATTTGAGCACCAGTGCTGGGCCACTTGGACTGTGTACTCGTGACTGGCACCCCAGTTAACATCACAATACTTCTTAATGTGCCCACATGCATTTCCCAGTAAATAAACAGAGCAGTAGGAAACAGGTTTCACTCTATCTTCTAATGCCTAACATTCCTGGCTAGTTCTCCTAGTTATTAAATCATAATTTTTTTTTTTGTTCCACATTTCCAAGAGAGGGTTTGAAGTTGAAAGACAGGGCAGTGCTAGTGTTGTGGCTACAGACATTAAGGAGAGAGCCAACCTGACTTCCTGTGAAGAACCTGATGTCATCATGGGGACACCTTGGCTATGCTGCTTGGCCTCATGTAATCAGGTCTCAATACTGTACTTTAAATTCATCTAAGTCAGAACAGTGGAATCAATACCTGCACTAGGCAAATCACAACTTTGCTGCCCAGATCCAATTTTTCTTGGGAATCTGTGTAGTTCAGAACTTGAATTAGTTGTTGGTAAACTGTCTTGTAACAACAGAAAAACAACAAAGGGAAACAGATGGCTATGTGGGTAATGAATCCAAATTATGTTAAAGACACGGAATGTTCCACTTTCAAGAGAGTGTCTTCTAGATTGTATGAAATACTGTAATTGTCTTTTAATTTTTTTCCATCCAGACTTGCACCTTTCTCAGACTGAACAGTGTCACTATGGATTACAGTATATGTACATGTTACAGAGTCCCTAGGTTATGTCCAGGCCTGGAGATCCACTCTGGCCACTCGACCAGATCAGAAACTTTTTAGTTTGATGTAAGTCCTACTTATTTATTATTGCTACCATTTTCCCTTTTGAAGGGAGTTCCAAATGGAGGGAATCTTCTATGTATTATTGCACTTAAGGACATTTGTCAGTAAGAAATCCAAATTCCTTAAGAAGGTTGATCCTGCCTAAACTCATCTTGACTTTCTTTTAGCTACTTGACAGTCACATATAATAGCCTGTTACAATAACAGGTACGTTATCTCATTGTTGCAAAATTTAACATATTAAAAAGAACAAGTCTCGGGCCCTCCCTGGTGGCACAGCGGGTTAAAGCACAGCTTAAGCCAATTCTGCATGAGTTCAATCCCCACCTGCCCTGGAGGTGATCCACATGGCACGGCAGACCTCTTCTGACCCGCCCGCTGCTCCCCTCAGCAGTGTACTTCATCATTCTGCCTGTTATGCTCCCGACTCTGTCTCTGGTGAAGCCTCTCACCGTCCCTACACTTCTGGCCTATACCCCAGTTCTGTATGCATAAATAAATCTTTAAAAAAAAGAACAAGTCTCAGGAGTTTTCCAGAAAGGATTTAGTAGCATAATATTGTCCTGGCTAAGGACCTTACTGTTTCCTTCCCAACCCTTTATTAAAGAACTTTGGTTGTGGATGAAGCATGACATAAAACAAGTTTACATAACAGAGCCTGTACCACATAATCATTGATTACAGTTGGTGATAAAAGAAAAATAAGCACTTTACATATGATGACTCTCTAGAAAGAATTTAAATTACAAACTTAAACTGAAACCTCTTGGCTTTTATTAGACTGTAGAACTGATAATATCCAACCGAAATACATAAATTACTATGTTTAGAGTCAGCACTCGACAATCAAATCCTCATGCTATTTAATCTGTGATGTTATCACTTTCAATAATTGGTAGGTAATATTTTTGTATAAATACACATTATATTTATACATATGTCTTTCAGAGAAGCATTTGAGATTTTTAAAGTGTGTCCTAATTCCTTTTATTTTAACAAGTAAAAATTATTTTAGTTTATGCACTACTCAACCTTGGAAAAGTAGAAACCTTAAACAATGTATTCCTTAGCTATGGTTCCACTTCTTGGAAGCCTGGTTAGAATTTGTCTTTCAGTGTGCTGCATGCTTTTTCCCATCTATAGGCCACACCCAGTCACCCAAAGAAAGGGTCACTATCCAGTTTTTACTGGTGAGACAAAAAAGGCTCTGGAATGTTAAATAACTTGCCTGATGTTATGAATTCATTGTCAGTGTGTGTGTACATATATGTATATATATACATATACCAGAACTAATGAGTTTTGCACTAAAGATTGTCAATGAAGCCAACATTATACCATGTACCAGTGGTAAAGAGGCCTGCATTTAGTGTGACAAGTGTTTTGACACAGCCAGCCACTGCTATCATAAGTGAGAATATGATCTGAAATTTTGAAAGGCAGTGTGTGAGCCATAACTGATGAGATGTCTTATGTAGTTAGTTTCAAAAACAAGCATCATAACTTAGTCTCCTAGACTCTGAAATTTGAAACTCTTTGATATGCTATAGTAGGTTACAAACAAAGGGGTTTTGTTCAATACATGTTTTTGTGGGTGTAACTATGGTGTAACTATGCAATACCTATCAGTCAACAAATGCTGCACAGAGCTGACCAATGACTCATAAAATCTACTGTGAGCTCTTCCTTCTAGTTTCAAAATATCCATTTAGAATTGCATTAGCAAAAATCCAATGACTGTGAGTCTTTTCACTATCTTGGTCTCATTCTAAATCATGGTTATTGTTGTTTTTTACCTTGACTTTTTAAAATGTTTCTATGGGTTGTGGTTCAAAATACGGCAACTTATTATAGATATATACATTTCTTTAAAAAATACTTTTGATTATGTAATAAGCCTTCCTAAAATAGACTAAGCAGTTAGATTTCAAAAATAAAAACCTCAATATAGTAAAAAATAATTTTCCCCCTTTCTTCACTTTCCAGAAGGAAAATGAACCTTCACAAATTATTTTGACATTAGCTAAGATGGGGGTAGGGTATATTTTGAACTTTTTATCCTTGTCTTTTAATGTTAGTGTAATCCTAATAATAAAGTGATGTCCCTGTTGTGCTTTAAACTCTCAATACAAAACTTACTTTTTCTACACAATTATTATGAGATAAGAAAATATGTTTTCTTATAGGCAGAATATTGAAATGGAAATGTAGTCTACTTAGTTCTAAAATCAGGAAATAAAATATTGGTAATAGTAGAATGGGTATCTCTCCCATCAATTGTCAGTGAGTGATACAGAATTTAATATAAAGGATGAGAAAGTTTCACTATGAAAAAACAAACTTTTCTTATTGTTGAAGAAACTTAATAAAAATGAATTCCGCAATCATGGTATAGGTGAAAACTTAACATCTTGTATTTTCGCCTTCATATTAAATAGAAATATCAACATGTTAAATCTCCGCAAAGAAATTATTGTCCACGATGCCTACATTTGTTAGGCAATTCATGGGTCCACCTGCCTCCTTCTTACTAGGACCTAGGGCCCATTATGTCAGTAGTCTAATTAATAGGTGGCTTCACGATTTTTCATCTCCCTGATAGCAAAGGCCACCAAGCCTTGACTCTAAAGTCGCTTACAAAAGAATGTTGATGTACAAAGAGAGAAGCTCATGAACCCACCCCCACCCATGTGCAAGAATCCATGCACTTAAATTGATGAAGCCTCGCTCAGAGCTTTAGAGGAAGGGATTGAGAAAGCAGAGAGGATTCCTGGCATGGGGAGCCGCAGCGTCATTCAGTGTGGTTGCCTGGCCCGATGTGCTGGAAGAGCCCACCGGGTGCAGAAGCCCAGAGCTGTGAGGCTGTTGGAAGCTGCAGTGGGGAGATTCCCGCTCCCGCCCAGCCATTCCCCTCTCAGCTCGCCGGGTCCCGCCCACAGATTCCCTCGTTTGTGGCGTTCCGCAGAAGTCGCCATGGCAACGGACGCCTGTTTCTGAAATCTAACTTCCAAGAACCATAGTTCCGCGGGAGGCGCTTGGCCAGGAGGTCACGTCCCGGGCTGTGATGGACAAACCGGAGAGAGAGGAGATCGGGAAGATCATCAATAACCTCGAGTCCACTATTGAACTACTCCGGTTCAGCCCCAGGTGATTCGGGCGAGGTGGGCAGCTGGACTGCCCGCTACGGACCCGCCTCCCCTCCAGCTAGTCCCCGCCAGCAGGCTGAGCCCTGGGCACCGTTCTGGTAGTCCGGCCCCCCCACACACACTCCCCAAGCCCCTCACACCCCCACCCCGCGCCTCTGTCCGCCTGCATGTACTGCACCTCTTTCTGGTCCCTGACTCCAGGCGACAGGGCTGTTATCTTAATTTCTTAAATGTATTCCTATATGTTCAGGGCATCAGCCCTGAAGCCAGTTGGCCTGAGTTTGAAACCTAATGACCCTTTTACAGAGCTCATGATTTGAGCAAGTTACTTAATTTCTCTGTCTTAGATATCTCAGGCTGGAAAATAATGCTAATGAGCAATGCCTGTTTGTGAGTTCTTAGTGAACGCTATTATTCTTTATAAGTGTTTAGAAGAGTGACATGCATATACACTACATAGTGCCATATAAGTAGTTATCAATATAATTACAGGTATATCCCTCCCCCTCACCCCCCAAAACACACACCCTGTTTTCACTGTGGGAAAGAAATCCGAAGGGGAAAAGTGAAGTAAGTTCTACACAACAGACTAGCCACACAGGCAAAAATCCAAAGGGGAAAAGTGAAGTAAGTTCTACACACCAGACCAGCCACACAGGCACCGCCCTGGTCCTTTCCTGGGAACTACGCACACAGGTTATGTACTGTCAAGCTAAAGTTTCTCATAAGGCAACTAAAGGGAAAAGCATTTATTTCAGAACCAAAGAATTGCAACTCGAGCACAGATTCAGGTCAAAAATCTAAATAATATCTCAAGGAGGAGCAAAAAAAAAAAAAAAAAGACTATGGCAATAGAAGAATAGAAGATGAGGTAAATGTTTAGAAGAATATGACAACATTTTTCTTGGCTAAACACAGGAGTCGCTGATTCTGTCCTCAGGCAAATCCACAATCATCAGTTCTTGTGGTAATGGATGACCTCTCAAACAATTGTTTGCTAACTAGGTCCTTTAACAATTTCCATTTTGACTCAGACAATGGTCTCTGGTCCAATTCAAACAAGCCAGATAGTGGGGTTTCTCTGTCGCTGGCTGACTGATCCCATTTTAAAAATAGCTTTTATATCAACTTTTCACAGTATTTATCATTTGTGCTCTCACTATATGTTAGTGCTATTTCAGGATTTTTATGTTGTTTAGAGTGCTTTGATACTGTATTTTGGAATGTGGGAGTACTCAAAAAAAATTCCTTATATATTAATGGTCCTTGTTTCTGCTCTTTTTTCAGAGGAATGTTCTACTTGTGTATGGATGGGAGACTTGGTTATTACTCTTTGTCCCCTTTCATGTCTTTCCTCTTTGTCCCCTCTGCCTCAGTTTTGTTTATTTGGAGATTATAAAGCTGATGTTTCTGGGAAAATGTATTTTTCTCTCTAAAACCCTTTTATAATTGGTAAGTGACACCACTGGGTTAGGTTAGTAGCTATGGAAGTACTTACAATTTCCTAGGACAAGTGTCTCACAGCACAATGAAGCTTAGAGGTGAGCCCCACCCAAACTCGAGGTAAATGGAAAGGACCATTGGACATAGCCAGTGAAATCACATCAAGCTCAGCGTTCCCAACTCACCTGTATTAAGTAAGTTGCCCTAATGGATCAGGCTACTCACAGCATCTGATTTATTGTTGGTTGTGAAAGGCACATGCTGGAGGGAGCTCACGCTGGGTATCCTGGACATCCAGTGTCTAACCTGTTCTAGTTGTTTACGGATAGGAATAACTTCCTGCCCTGGATTCCTTGGATTCTGTTGCTCTCTAACAAAGCACACTGGCTGGTTCTGTGGACAGACTGACTGTATCAGGAACTCAGAAAATGCAGATTGCCTGAACAAAGGAAACACTGGTGTCCTTGCTAATTTCTCTTCACCCACAATATTAGCGAGATGTGTTGGTGCCGCAGTACCATAAGACTCTCCCAGTGGGAGAGACTCAAATACTGACTGCAATCCTGGTAGGGTCGAGGGAGATATGTTAGAGTATATATCCAGGTAAAGGACAGGAAGATTAAAGGAGTGGGAATGGACCTTCCCAGACCAGCAAGGTCCGGGACCTGGACGTTCTCTTCTACCAGTGTGGGTAGAGAAGAGCAAGAAGGGAGAGCAGTGAAGATTAGAAATAAACAAGTAGTGCCAGGTGGTATGGGACTTCGATTATCACTGGAAGGACTTCAGGTTTGACCTTGAATGAGATGGTCTGATGCATTTTTTCAGTGCCACCAAATAATTCTCCAATTCCCAGGGCATACTGAATGGGTGTCCAAGTCTCTTTGGACCCCAGACTCATTCTCCCTGAACTCCCAGGTCCAAGTTGTCACCTCTGTGTCTGATGACCAACTACAGATTATCTGTGAATCTGAATTGTGCGCAACCCTTCCTCAGCTTACATTAACTTGCTGGAGTGGCTGATGGAACTCAGAAAGCCAGTTTAATTATGAGATTATCTATTTATTGCAAAGAGTATTACAAAGAATATTAAAGCTGCCAGATGAAGAGCCCCAGAAAGGATCTGGAGTACAGGAACTTCTGTCTGTGGAGTTCACTACGCTAGTCTTTTCTACAATTCAGTGAGATATGCCATTGCATTCTGCTAATAACCATTCATGGATCTGTTTTCTATAATAAATTAACAAGTTAATTTGGTATGTAATTAATTGAAAATTATTATCTTTCCAAGACTGCATTTTATGCATAACCAGCAAGCTATTATTCAGAAATGGAATCACTGAAACTATAAATAAGGACAGTGTAGGATTCATTTAGCTAATTGTGATGCAGGTTTCCATTCTAGGCAGCAGAATGGAAAATTAAAATTAGGGAATTGGAATTTGAAAGGAAATTGAAGAATCAACCATCATATTTCACTTAGATTATGAATGAGTCCGTCTTTCTGAATCAGTCATATAAGTTAAGACTCAAGAGACCATAGAACCACATGCCTGTTCTCACCAGAGGTGAAGAACACAAATCTGGGTTTTCAGGTATTGGATTTAGATGAGTTATTTTACTTTTTGAACCTCAGTTCCCCCATATTCAAAACAAGAAGGTTAATTTTTCTCTTATGAAATTATTGGGAAATAACATGAGGGGCAAATGTGCCTATTAATGCATATAGTTAACAATGCATGTGGGACAAGTTAAGACCCAGTAAATCAAGGCACTAATAATATTTTAAACACCCTGGAGGAAGTGTATATGGAGTTATTGAACCTAATTTTAAAATACCACATTGTATTACCACATTGTGTGCCAGGGAAGCTCGGGGGGGAAACAGGATGACCCAGCTATGAGTCCTCATCCTTGTGTTTAAGAACTGGAGACAAGAACTAACAACAAATGTGGAGAGAGAGTGAGAGAAAAAGGCTATTTACCAGGGGAATAAGAAGAGGGAGAAGTGAGAAGTGTGAGGGAGAGACACCTGCCAACAACACAGTCTGAGCTTCAACACCAGGGTGCTAGTTGAAATCAGAAAATCAAGAGAGTGAGCACACATGTGTTCAGATTTCTATGAAACATGTTCTTTTAGCTGCCCAAGTTTCCAGAGACACACCCCTACCACCCTCTGAGTAGTCAGGTAATGGCAAGTTGTCCTCAGCACCTATGTGGAGATGAAGGTGGAGTCCATTGAGAACACCATTCACTGCTTGGATTTTGCTCCTTAATGTCCCTCTGACAGCACCAGAAGGACCTACTGGGAAAAAAGGTTAATTCACTTCTAATTGATTTTTTCTAGTTTTATTGCAGTAGAATTGACATATATAATTACAAATTATATATTTGTAATAAAAACTATCCACCACACTTCATAAGTCTATTACCCTCAATTTTTTTGGGGGGGTGGGGAGGGCTTACCATAGAAAGAAAAGAAAACATATGTATGTTCAAGCTTTATGACAAAGTTGAATAGTAAAAATGAGCTGCCTGGCACTGGGGAGGGTAAAGCTGCATTTCCAGACTTTAAACATGACTCCTGGAGGCCCTTTAAATGTGCAGCATGATAGAATATAAAGAAATAAGTGTATGTGGTTGATTGTATTTATTATGTTGATGTAATATTTGGGGTCTAGACTGGTAGAAATCTCACTAGTATTTGAACAGGAAGTGGATATCCTGTGCCTTATTAAATATTAGTATGGATTTTTAACTTCTAAAAGGTGGTAAAAGCAAGTACTGTAACAGAAAAGTAGAATGCAGACTTCAAGAGTAAAGGAGGGAGAAACTACAAATTTAGAAGACTCCCACTTACATGCCCTTCCTGAAAACTGTAAGACCTCTCAGGAAAGGGTTTGGCTGCTGGCAGGGAAACTTGCAAAGGGCACTGGCCAGAGCTGACCCTTGAAGATGTCAAGTGACTATAGCTCTTGGTCAAACATGTTGGCAGGCCAAGGTTCTCACTTTATAGGAGATGCACATTTTTATCCAGAAGGTCCTCATTTCTCAAAAGTTCCATCATTGTTTCAGTTGCTGCATTTTCCCTCTAATCTTTACATTTGGGAATAGAAATCTAAGAGGCATCTGGGAGAATCCCTTGGATTTCAGACTGTCCTTCATGCCTCCATTGTATACTGTCAGCTCACTTTCCCCTTGGTAATCAGAAGCAATCACCTCAGCCAGCAGGATCACCCGTTTTCAGCTTTTGGTTCAGTGGCACTAGGATTACTTAGAGACCATGTATCAGTTCACTTCACTATTAAGAAATTCAACTGTGTTTCCAGATGGAAGCACTGGCCCCTTGGGAACTAAGGTCTCCAAACCAAATTTTGAAGTTGCTAGGACAAGAAGCAATAACTTCAGGGGTAGATGGGTTAGGTATAAGAGTGAGCAGAGTCCTCCACTTCTACCCCTTGATTCCTGGACCTATAGCCATAGAAGAAATAGCAAGTTCCACAAATTGATTCAAAGCATATACCACATCCTGTAAAATAGAAATCTACATCCTTTCATGGA